GTAATGGTTTTTAGCTTTAGGATCTTTCAAATTTCAGATTTATGTGTGTATATCATATACACATACGTTGGATCAGAAGTGATGTGCGTTTATGATATTTGAAACCTCTACATTTGTACTAAACCCAAACATACGAAGTATGCATCTCAATCTTGATCTAATGATAAACTTCATCCAGTCATATATGCATCATAATATAGGATTGTTATGTGTTATATAATGGGAAAATCAGTTAACACAAATTCATGCATCATAATTAAGTTTTCTAATATAGTTAAGAATATCTAGTTAGAGCTTTAAAATTTATATGTTTTAATTTACTTCAAAATAAAATATTTATGATTATTACTTTACACAATTTTGATTGAATACACGATTATGTTCATCGATCTTTCTCCATTGTTTTGGCAGTTTTCAGCTAAACGAAAAACATTGCAATTTATTACCTACAGTCGATTCAAACAAGTAGTAGATAGATATATTTTCAATTGGAAATTTGGAGGCCAAACTTGCACACGATCATGCCCTAATCTCTATGAACTCCTTGTATTTATATTAAGGAATATACAGTCAATATATTATTCAACAATGTCGATATAAAGACTTGGCACACAAGTACACATCATTTTATTTTACAATAATAATATAAGAAATTAGTAGCCATAGAATCTTGGATCGATCGAATCCATGTTCGATCATGCATCTTATATGAAATGAAACTAGGGTTGGGAAGTGTGGAAATAACAGAGAGAAGAAGGGTCAGACATAGAAGCTCCAAGGTGAGAGTGAGGCTGAAGAAGCCTCACCTGCCGTTTCAAGAACTTAGTGTAACGGATTGCTTCGTCGAGCATGGAAGCTGTGTCCATCTTTGCACCGCCTGGCACTATCCTCTTCAGTATTCGGATCTTCTCGCTTATCCTCTCCCGGCGCCGCCTTGCAACTACCGTCTGAGGATCGTCGCTTACCCTCACGTTCCGGCGGTTCGGCTTAGGGACGCTGGCTGGATCGATGTCTACTGGCTGCATGGCTGCAATCATGTACTGCATCTCCTTCATCGCATCCATC